AGCACTCTGGGGAGCCAAGACGGGAGGATCACTCCAGGTCAGGGGTTTGAAACCAGCCTGAACAAGAGTGAGACCCTGTCTCTACTAAAAAAAATAGAAGTAAATTAATTGGCCAACTAAAAATATATGGAGAAAATTAGTCGGGCATGGTGGCACATACCTGTAGTCCCAGCTACTTGGGAGGTTGAGCCAGAAGGATTGCTTGAGCCCAGGAGTTTGAGGTTGCTGTGAGCTAGACTGACACCACGGCATTCTAGCCCGGGCAACAGAGTGAGATTGTCAAAAAAATAAAAGTAAAACCCCAGCCTTATACAAGAAGTCTTTTCCTTAATCATAAGTCATTTATTATATCCCTTCTTCTTTTTTAAGTAAAAAATATTTTCGCTGGGCAAGGTGGTTCATGCCTGTAATCCTAGCACTTTGGGAGGCCAAGGTGGGAGGATCGCTTGAGGCCAGGAGTTTGAGAGCAGCCTGAGTATGAGCAAGACCAGGTCTCTACAAAAAATAAAAAAATTAGCTGGGTGTAGTGGCATTCGCCTGTAGTCCTAGCTACTCAAGAGGCTGAGACAAGATGATCACTCAAGCCCAGGAGTTTGAGGTTGCAGTGAGCTATGATGATGCCCCTGTACTCTAGGGCCAGGCAACAGACCCTGTCTTGGGGGAAAAAAAAAAAATCAATCCAAGTTACAATTCCATCCAATTTTGAGGGTATTTATTAGATTTAAATGATGCAAATTCCAAAAATTACACTTGTTACCCTAAGAATATATTCACTAAAAGCCTGTCTTTATTTTTATCAGCTATTGCAGAAAAGCTTCAAAAATCATAGAAGAAAATTACCATTTTTACCAGTACATGACTTTTATTCCATCCCAACCAAGCTAGATGAATATAGAACTGTTTCAACAAAAAACGTTACCATCATCATAATTTAAGACCAAAATCAGCCTGCAATTACATGAGTTGGAAAACAAATTATGCTTATGTTGCAGTCTACCTTAAAGCTCTAACTTATACGTCAGAATTTAAAGCATGCACACATATACACATTCTTCTGGGTTCTTCCTCGTTTATTTAAAGCCTGCTTTTGTGATGATCTGCTATTTTCTTGAGTGTTCTGGAATGAGCACTGTAATGAGCACTGAATGAGCCCCTAGACAAAGAGAAGGCCCCACCTCCAGGGCTTAGTACTACTCCTGGCTCCAAGTAGGTCCTCAAATATTTATCGGGTGAATGAGTGGTAGTCTGAAGATGGGCCTGTCATTAAGCCTCTCAAAGAAAAACTTCAGAAAGAAAAGCAGCAACTTTATAGAGAGAAATAGGAAAAAGTTTAAGAGATACTTTTGTTCACTTGAAGAAGCCAGTGTTTGTTAAAGGTGAAGACTAGATGATTCGTTCACCCAATGGCTAAGACACAACTGGCCAAGTGGGCTCTAGACTTTATCCTGTTCCACAGTTAAATACAAAAACAGGTAAATGGCTAAGACACAACCAGCTAAGCGGGCTCTAGACTTCATCCTGTCTCATAGTTAAATACAAAAACAGATATTTATTTATTTTTCTTCATTTCCACATAGGTATTAAAAAAAAAACACAGGAGAAACATAGAACAACTTACCTATAAGGTTCTTTTGTATATACGAATATAGTACATCATCAACTTTTTCAGGAAGAAAGAAAACAGAGGTGACTATCTATTTGTTCTTAGGGTAGGAAAGGACTTTCTAAGTATAAAAACAAAAGAAGAAATCATAACAAATTTTTTGTAACAAACAAGCAGAATCAGGACATATGACAAAGTAGGAAGAATATCTCCATGACAAAAAATTAATGTCTTTAATACATTAAGAGTTCTTACACGGCCGGGCGCTGTGGCTCACGCCTGTAATCCTAGCTCTTGGGAGGCCGAGGCGGGCGGATTGCTCAAGGTCAGGAGTTCAAAACCAGCCTGAGCAAGAGCGAGACCGTCCCTACTAATAAAATAAGAAGAATTAATTGGCCAACTGATATATAAAAATTAGCCGGGCATGGTGGCGCATGCCTGTAGTCCAGCTACTCGGGAGGCTGAGGCAGGAGGATCGCTTGAGCCCAGGAGTTTGAGGTTGCTGTGAGCTAGGCTGACGCCACAGCACTCACTCTAGCCTGGACAACAAAGTGAGACTCTGTCTCAAAAAAAAAAAAAAAAAAAAAAAAAGAGTTCTTACAAAATCAATTTAAAAAGAAATATCCTGGCCGGGCGTGGTGGCTCACGCCTGTAATCCTAGCACTTTGGGAGGCCGAGGTGGGCGGATTGCTCAAGGTCAGGAGTTCGAAACCAGACTGAGCGAGACTCCGTCTCTACCAAAAATAGAAATAAATTAATTGACCAACAAATATATTATACAAAAATTAGCCAGGCATGGTGGCGCATGCCTGTAGTCCCAGCTACTCGGGAAGCTGAGGCAGTAGGATCGCTGAGCCCAGGAGATTGAGGTTCTGTGAGCCAGGCTGACGCCACGGCACTCACTCTAGCCTGGCAACAAAGTGAGATCTGTCCCAAAAAAAAAAAAAAAAAAAGAAATATCCTAAGGGAAGAATGAATGCAGAACAAGAACTGGCAATTCACAAAGACCAAATACAAATGGCCAATGGTTACTGAGGTTCAGCTTCAGTAATAATCTGAAGGACCACTAACTTAAAAGACATATATCCAATTATGGGAGGGTATGGTAAAATGGCACTTTCTCAGACTATTGTGGGAACCGGGATAGCCATTTTGGAAGGTGATGTGGTGGTACCCACCAGCAACTCCAAGTCTAGGCAGCCGTTCTTCAAAAACATTGTCACATGAGAAAGTTCAATCTCCCAGTATTTTTAATAACAAACCATTGGGAAATCCTAAAGGGACGATGAAATGCATGACGGTAAGTCAGCACCAGACTACACTGCTATTTAAAACAAATGAGGCAGAGATAAATATGTGAGATGGATAGATGCAGAAAACATATATGTAACACCATCCTGTTTCTTAAAAACACAAAAAGTGCATATTTCTAGTCTTAGAAGATTTAGAAGGATCTACATTAAGGTATTAACAGAAGTTACTCTGAGTAGTGGGAGCAGAGAGTTAAGAGACACCTTTCATTTTTTTACTCGATAAACTTTTAAGTGATTTGATTTTTTTATAGAGGCATGTATTATTTTTGCAATTTTTTAAAAGGTAAAATAAGAAAAATAATAAGCTATCAAGCATTTATCTACTAAACACAGGTTGTCTTTTGAGAATTCCCTTAAGAGTTACTTGAAGCTCAAATGGCTGTGCTTTTCCCATTCATAAGTAATAAGAGATTAAAAAAAAAAAAAAAAAAACCTTCTTCCTTTCTACATTTCTTAGGAAAAACTGTATAGAGTCACCGTTTTCTCTTTTATAAAATCCATTCCTAATCTGAGAAAAAGACTATTAAAAAATACAAACCACCCCCCAGGCCTAACATCTATCAGAAGAAACCCATTCACTGCCCATATTCTATTTAGTCCACACAATTTCCAAAACAAAGCACAAAGCACTAGCCATACAACTCTAACCAACGTAAATACAGGGAGTACAAAGAAGTCCTGTCAGCTTAGCCCAGAGCACACCCTGCAGCAGTAAAGGGGAATGACAATTTGAGTCACAGGAGGGACTTGGAGGCAGCCTGCTCTTCACTTCCTTCTACACCTTCTATTCTCTTCCACCCAAACCTTGCCCACAGCATAATCCCTTAAACCAGCTATTGATCACTGATGTCTATTATACTGAGGTGTCAGAAACCACTAGAGAGACACAACAAAGTACAACTTGGGGGTCTCAGCTGGAATCACAATGGCAGTATATATGAAAACTCACATTTTTTCCTTAGGAAAAGAAAAAGAAAATTCAATTGGAACATTCTGCTTTATCACACAGAATTTTTGAAATCCAGGTGTCAAAACATCAAATGTGGGCCAGGAGGGGTGGGTGATGCCTATAATCGCAGCACTTTGGGAGGCTGAGACAGGAAGATCGCTTGAGGCTAGGAGTTAGAGACCAGCCTGGTAAACATAGCAAGACCCTGTCTCTACAAAAAACACAAAAATTAGCCAGGCATGGTGGTGTGAGTCCTAGTTACTAAGGAGGCTTAAGCAGGAGGATCGCTCAAACTCAGGAGCTCCAGGCTGCAGTGAGCTATGATCACACCACTGCATTCTAGCCTGGGCGACAGAGCAAGATCCGTCTCAAAAAAAAAAAAAAAAAAAAAAAAGCTTGAAATATTGAGCCTGATAGTTGAGAAACTCAGGAACCATTCATTTTTACAAAACTAAAGATCACACAATGGTGCCAAAGTACAACTGATACAGCACCTGAGTGTCCGACCTAGAATAAAATGACTTGGGCCCCTAGGTTTTCAAAAATTATTCATTCTGCTCTAGAGTCCCAACAACCAGATGTGTGTGTAGGTACTCTCTTCAGTTTCCATGGGAGGAGTGTGGCAAGCATATGCCATAAGCCATGGGCCCCACTGTTCTGTGACAGCTTTCAGGAGGGCATCCTTCTAGGGGACCACACACCAGTTCCTGTATCTGAAAATTCACTAACATTGACCAGTAAGTCATTTACCGAAAACCAAAGCAAACAAAGCATCATGCTGAAGACCACTAGGCAACAGCAGCAGTGCAGGTGAAGAGCTCAGTACAAGCGCTCTCAGGTCAGTTGACCTGCTTCAAGGTGAACTGAAGTTGCAGATCACCAGTTCCGGCTCTAATCTGACGCCCACCCTCAGATCACACTGTGGCTACCAAGTAACCCTACCCAAACTGACCTTTCAGGGCTCAGGGAAGTGACTTTTTTTTATTATATGGCACAGTTTGGCACAGTTATGTCTTTAGTCTTTGGGGTACTTTTATACTGTCCAAGAGTTGTATATCTTTTTTTCCTTTTGTTTTTAAAAACAGATGGCCAAACCAGGACATATACTAAAAAAAAAAAAAGGAAGGTTACTTACCTGAGCCCTAACATCCCAGCTACCATGGAATCCTGTTGGAGCTGGTCTACAGAAGCAAGGTGTATTCTGGGGAGTCACATGTCACATCAAAGCAGGAACTGGTGAGTCTGTATTTTTATGGAGCCTAAAACAAAGAAAATCGTAAGTTGAAAGCCCCCATTGTGCTGCACGACCTTTTTCCCAGGGCTATTTGGGACATTTTGAAGATAAACACGGTAGACAAAGTACTAGGCTATTTCCCAGCATACATAGCTAGAAACAAAGGATAAACTGCAATTACTGGCACATAGCACACAGTGCCAAAATAAAGTTAAGATTCATGCTCTTTAGAATTGACACTATCACAAGTCCTGTCACCTCTGGGGGGCACTTCGACACTACAAAGCATATCATGAGTGGTGATTTCTGGCAAGTATTTTTCTCCACCACGTCATACAGAAATACTTGGGGAGAGAATACATGTTCAACAGGACATGTGACATCAAAATATCATCCCCAAAAGAACACACAGCACAATCTCCCTTCTTTTTCAAGCAGCCGAACTTGGAATAAGCTGCTGTATCACCATGTAAAGGGGCTTTAACCCTGAGAGAAAAAAAGCAGCACCAAAGGAAACAAAGCATCCTGGGATATCCAAAGCCATCATCCAAAATAAGCAAGTAAGTCTATTTCAGAGCAATCACTTTTAAGCCTCTCAGATCAGTAAATCTCAGAGTTCAACAAACTGAGTTATTAGTCTGATAGTTTCTCTTTTGCTTTTGAATACGTGTTCAAAAAAGGACTTTTGTCATTACATTTTTTTGTCATCAAGATAATCATCATTTCCTTGTTAAAACCTAAACTGTCCCATATTAATTAGCTAATCTCTAATACCAGTGCTGGCCCAAAAGTAGCACTTTTATCTTTAGACCAAAAACAAAAGCTCAGAGTATGCAACCTAGAGACTATTCACACAATTACTCATGTAATCAAACTCAGAAGAAGGGCAACACCAATCAAGTCTTTTACTGGTTTAAAGCTACCAGATGGTACCTAGAATTATCTTTTGGGGTTCAGTGAGACCTCATAATTCCCATAAACAGTCAAGTCATAGAATGTTTTGAAATCCCAGAAGTCAAGTTAATAACATTTCCTCGTTAGCGATACAATAAAAACTAAATCAGTATCCTGGCTGGGAGGCCCTGGAAAAGTCCCAACTTCTCACAGACAAGTTTTTTAACTTGTAAATTGAGGGAACTGGACTAAGATTCCTTCTAGTTCTGAAAGTTTAAGATCACTAATTAACTGAAGATTTCATGGGGGGGAAAAAAAGAGCCAGAAAATGAGAGCAGTTAGGTGAAAATCCAATAAAGAAAGTTCATATATATAACACCCTCCAGCTCTTCTTAGACAAGGAAGACTGCACATCCTTACTAAAGCTTGGTCCAGTCAGCTTCAGAGGCAATAATGAGAGTCCAGACACCTGTAGAAACTTCAAAACAGCTACACACTATGGTGAGGACACATTCATAGGCCAGAAGACCCAGCGTAAGTGTGCCTGGAGAAGTTATAAAGGACAGGCTTTAATCTCTAATGGAATAGTCACCCTCCCTTGATATGGGAGTAGAGATACCCTGCCCACCCCCAAATTCCTGCTCCCACTCAGTAATCCCACACACCATAGATACCATCAAAGTGATCAAACCTAGTATTTAAGCAACAGCATGCAAATCAAGCTTTCAACAGGAAAAGGTTCCTTGCAAGAGAAAGGCAGAGGGAGGACAAGTAAAAGCAGAAGAGCACAACTTTTGTGTAAGCAAGCCCAAGGAGGAGGAGGGACCAGTTTACATGTGTCCTGCCCAAAATGATGTAAAGGCACAGGGGTTTGACAGAACAGCAGCAGCTTGACTGGCAAGGGTTGGTTTAGAAGCACTAAGAACAAAGTCCTTCCACTGCAACCCAGCAATAATGTTCTACCCAAGAAAAAAAGAGTTTGCCAGCATTACAAGACTGGTGTGCACGGATGTCACCAGAGCAGAGGGCAGTGAAAACAGGCAGGTGTCCTGCTACACTCCTTGGAACTCACCAGTCTAGGACTGTGCTTAACGCCTGTATACTTAAAACACTGGTTACTACAAATGTCTAACATTTTTTGTGACTTTCTCCTTCTCAGAGATAACTCAGGCAGCCTGGCCACAAACTGCTCTTAGCCAATTAAAAGATTTCCACTGATATTCCCCGTTATTTCAGGTTATAGTACACATCTTTTATCATGCAAACAGTTCCAAGTAGGTACATTAGTAGTAGAAACCAGACTCAAGTAAGGAACTAACAATTTTATCTCTGCTATTTATTCTAGGTTAAAGAAATGAACTTCTCCTTCCACCTCCACATGGAGGAAGGAATGTTTGGGTGAGGGCAATATCATATTGGGCTCATCTAGTCAGTTTTTCTTTTAAACTCTGCAGCCTGCATCCCTGCCCCACTAGATTAGGTTGCATGGAGGCAAGGCAGGCAGGGGAAATGACTCTGGCTGGAAATTACAAACATAAAAACACAGAATGCAAGTATCACAACCTTTTAAATTCACAGTGATCTGTCCTTGCCCCAGACCTACCTCAGGATTCAAACAGCACAAAAGTTGGAGTAGAGTTGACTGCATAATGCTCTCCTATCACGTGAAACAAAGACCTGGTACTACAGGTTTAAAGCATTCCAGGCACATTTTTTTCAATTTGTAATACTCCTTTGTATTAGAAATTTTTTTTTTATGTTCAGTAATGTGTGAGTGTTGGTTACAGGCTTTCCCTCCGGGCACATTTTTAATAACAGGAAACCGGAAGGTATAATGGGCCAGTACTGGCAAAAAACTGTACACAGTTTCTTCAAGCTGTCAGGACATGCTGACTTCAGATGCTACCAGGCACTTTGCAGAGAAACTATACTCTGGAAACTGTCTGTGCTGTTTAAAGGGGTATGACAAACAGCTAACCAGAGGGGTTCCTGAAGAGGCAAATACATTGCCAACTATGAAAAACAAAGCAAAAACCTCAAGTTGTCATGTCTCAAGCTCAGATGCATAAACCTTGGAATCTTGTGAAGTGAGGTTTGTGAGTCTGTGTGTAGATGTGAATGTACCCACCCCAGTGATCAGCCACTTAACTGACCTACCACAAATGAGTGATCTATGGTGACTTATTTTAATTAACTGTACTTCTACTAGATTGTGCTCGTTAAGGTTCTGACATATCCAGGAAGGAAAATAAAACCAAGTGTTTCTCAGGCTTCCTGGCTGGAGAGCCAGATGAAAATTCCAGCCACGGAACCCAAAATTCTCTGGAGTAATAATTGTCTATTAGTGCAATTTTACTCCTGAGGCCTGTATATGCTTTATTTTTACAGTACAAGAAAATGCCTAAAACTTGAGAGAGTCCTACAACATCTAAGCCACTAAGCATCACACACCAGTAGGTTTGGTTCCATGATCACCAATCACCCCCTGAATTCAGTGCTATCATGTCACAACTGGGGGTATTGATCCCACACACCAAAGACACATGTGCGAATGCCTCAGCAGGGCCCATTCCTGTTCCTGGAAATCACCAGAAGCGCATATCTGCCTCACCATGAGTCAGGAATATCAATTTTGTGGTGGAGCCCATTTCTGCTGTGACCAAACCACACTCAAACACACTCTCAACACAAGCAACCGCCACAGAGGTACTCCAGAGTGAGCTTTTCCCACCTCGAGGCCCATACTTAGCAATGTCATAAACGGTCTCCTCTGTGAGTCTATTCTTTTTAGACTCATCATGACCTTAAGTCTTCAGTGCAAAACCACAGAAATATTGCCACTGCCACATAAAAGTCACCTGAGTTTCAGTTTGGGTGATTCAGTTACAACCAAACTAAAAAGAGAAACTTTTAGAGCCTTGGACAGGAGCCACAGCGTTGCGATGAACTTGTCCCATCTGGTACTGATGATTCTGAGCGCTCCAGGGCAATGAGACCCGTTACATACTATGTCCCACTCCACTTATGTAACTGGAAGATCGCCGGCGAAGGTGGGGGGGGAGATGGGAGGGCGCTCATATTCCGAGGCCACAGCACCCCTAAAAAACCTCTGGGCACCCTGGGGGCACACTCCCACCGAAAAGCCTCAGGTGCTACCAGACGTACCTTCCCTTACCCACGGTTCCTGATGGAAGTATAACCACCTCTTTATGAGTTGTGGGACACAAGAACACAGTGTCTAGTCCCTTTTGTGGGTGGACAATAATCCCCACCTGCTTGTTCCTGCTTGTTTCCCCTTCTTTACTGATGGGGAAAGAAGCTGGTGGACCGACTCGCTCACAGTGGGGGCAGAAAGTCATGGAATGGGCCAGAAGGAGGGGGAGGCAAAGCCCAGAGATGGGGGTGAGAACGCAGGAGCCCTTGTGGCGCACTCTCCCGACGGGAGGCGGACTGCGCACGCGCGCTGGTGGGGGAGCCGAGTAACGGGAGAGGGGGCGCGCGAGGGAGGGAGAGGGGAGAGCGCGATCCAGGGAGAGGCCGGGGCCGCGGGTGCGGGCGCGCGACGAAGCCGCGGCCCAAAGCCCTGAGAAGGGCAGGAGCGCGCGCAGCTCCGACAGGCGAAGCCCCAGTGACAGGGGCGCTCGCGGGGCCGGGGCCGGGGCCGGGGCCGGGGCCGGGGCCGGGATGTGCGCCGAGGGCGGGCAAGAGGGAGGAGCGGCGCTAGGCGAAGGCGGCTTGCTCCGGGGAGGCCGCGCCGAGGACGGTCACCCATGAAAGCGGGTGACAGGCCCAGGGGAGAGCCGCCAGCGGCGGGAGGGGGAGGGTAAAGAGGAGGGACGCCATCCGCCAGCCTTGTCGTCCGACCCCGCGGGCCCCTCCCGCGCCACGTCCCGCCCCTGTCCCCCGCCCCCCGGCAAGGGTCCCAGCCTGCAGCCGCGGCGGTCCCACTCACAGTCTCTCTTCCTCGCCTCCTCCTCCTCCTCCGCTCGGCGCGGCGGCGGCGGCGGCGGCGGCGGCCATTTTCCGGACAGCTTTTACCACAGCCCTCTCTCTGAGAGGAGGGAGCGCGCGCGCCGCCGACGCCGGGACCCCGCACGGCCGACGTCGCGCCCCGCCCTCCCGGCCGGCCTGCGGCTGCTGCACCTGCGCGCCCGCGCCCGGCCACCGCGAGCCCGTGCGCTATTGGCTGCGGCGGCCGGGCCGGGCCAGAAGCTCAGCGGCACCGCCGTCAATTGGTGGGAGTTCCTGCCCGTTTCGGCCAGGGAAAAGAGGGCGGATCCCTGTCCACCTGCCGATTGGCTGCGGTCGGCCGTCACTTGGAGAAAAGAGGCGGCTTGGGCGTGGATGGACTGGTTTAGTGGGCGGAATTTGAATGTTAAGGATTAATGGGGCCCTTGCGGATGCTGGGGCAAGTGAAGGCCTAGGCTCAGAACGTCTGTTTGCGTGGCCCTACCGGGCGATTAACCCGCTATCCACAAGTGTATTCAGTATGCTGCAATAAGCGTTTCATTGCACCCGCATTTTCTCAATATCACCATATTCAGTAGAAGCAGCAACGTTGCCTGCCCTGGAGCCTGACGTTGTTCTGACCAAGAGACCTTGGTTTAAGAGGCCTACCCATTGCATTATTTCATCTGAGCCTTCCCGGTGCCACAGTGTCATAGTGGGGAATAAACCGACAGCAAGCGATCACAGCCCTGGACTTAGCAGAACTCTGGTAGGGGAAGAGGGTGCATGCCAAAGCCGTGTGGCTTGAATGGTTTGGTGGGTAGCTTTGCCTGGAAGACGTGATTTGGGAGCTGAGATCCAGCACTTCCTCTTCTTCCTGGAAGAGGTGATTTGGAGCTTAGATCCAGAAATTCTGTTTCAGGAAAATATTTAAGAATATGAGAAAAGTTTTAGCGAACGGGGGTGTTCAGGACAGGACTGTTTGTTTTAAGGTGACCTTACCCTTATAAGAATCATCATCCAATCCATCCAGTGTTCCTTGTGCTAATTCTATATTTAACAAGGAACCTTCTGATTCTGATTTGGCTCCCCTTCTATGTGCCAGGCACAGTATTGAACAAGATAAAAAGCTAACATTCTTGTGGGGAAGATTCGTACTAAACATACAAATAAGTATATAATTTCACATTGTGATAAGAGCTTTGTGATAGGTAAAGCGAGAGTGAAGGGGGTGCTATTTACATATCCACTGGCTTTTGCCCTCATTTTATGCTCCCATGGATATGTGGGGAAAGAACATTCCAAGCAAGTTCAAAGGCCCTAAGGAGACACTATGTCTGGCATGTTGAGGAAGAATAAGGAGGCCAATGTTGCTGGTGAGTGGTAGGGAATGTGGTTGGAGAGGCAGCCGGGCCCACCAGAAGAACTGAGAGCTTATTCTGACATGAGAAGTCCTTGGAGGATTTCAAGCTGGAAGCTGACATTATTAGATCTATGTGTAAGTGCAGAATGGAGAACTGGCTGTGTTGGGACAAAACTAGGCACAAGAGGCTAGTTGGGAGGCCCTGGCAACAATCTAGGAGAGAGATGTGGCTTTAATTAGGATGGTAGCAGTGGAGTTTTGAGAAGTTGTGAGATTCAAGATATATTTTCAAAATTGAGCAAAAGGACTGGTTGTAGGATATAGATAAAGAGAAGAAACAAGGATGATTCCTGAGTTTGGGGCTTGAACAACTGAGTGAATAGGGGTGCCTTTCACCATGATGAGGAAAACCACAGGAAAAACACTTTTTCAGAGGTGCAGATCAAGAATTCTGTTTTGGCCATATTAAGCTTGGGGTGCCCAATGGTGTGAAAGTGAAGATGTGACATTTGGGCATGTGATGTTGAAATCTAGAGGTACAGCTAAAGCTGTCAACAAGTCAACAAGCTGAACATCCAATTCAAGAAATGGTAAAAGAAACAGTATAGGCCAGTGGCAATAGCTCATGGTTGTAATTCCAGCACTTTGAGAGGCCAAGGTGCTGGAGGATCACTTGAGGCCAGGAGTTCGAGACCAGCCTAGGCAACATAGTGAGACCCCATTTTTACAAAAAAAATTTAAAAATTAGCCAGGTGTGCACATGCACCTGTGGTCCAAGCTACTCAGGAGGCTGAGGTGAGGGAATTGCTTGAGCCCAGGAGTTTGAGGTTGCACTGAGCTATGATGATGCCACTGCACTCCAGCATGGGTGATAGGGTGATACCCTGTCTCAAACACACACACACACACACACACAGAGAGAGAGAGAGAGAGAGAAACAGCAGAATAAACCTGGAGAAAGTAGAAAGAAAAATAAGGATGAGCAAAAACTAATGAAATAGGATAAAACTTACCTATGTATATAAAAATGTACACTATTCAGGCACACTAAAAGCCCTGACTTGAGCATTATACAATTCATCCATATAACAAGAACACTTTTAACACCTAATCTTATGAAATAAAAATTATTAAAAAATTGATGAAGTAGAAACAAATGATAGGATTGAGAAAATGAAAAATCTGGTTCTTTGAAAAGCTGAAAAACAAAAGCTAGCCCTCTAACAAGCTGAATATAAAGAGAAAAGAGATAAGTAAATTATATTAGAATTGAGCAGGGGATTTTTTTTAAAAAAGGATATTATGAACTATTGATATATGGCAGTACATTTGAAAACATAAGCAAAATGAATAAATTCCTAGAAAAGCACAACTTATCAAAACTGACTCTAGAAATAGAAAACCTGGACTGACTCCCTATAACCACAAATAAATTGACTATGCATTTAATAATTTACCCCCTCACAGATGCACAAAACAGCCAAGAGAGCTTTACAGATGACTTCTACCAAATCCTCAATGAGAGAGCAATTCCAAGCATACCCAGGAAAGAAATTTCTCCAAACTTATTTATTAGACTAATATAACTACCATAATGAGCCAAGTAAAGTATGACATAGGATGTGGAAATAAATTCAAAAATTCTAGACAAATAAACTGAGTCTAGTAGTGTATGATGAGATATATCATAACCAAATTGAGTTTTATCCTAAGAATGCAAGGATGGTTCAAAATTTAAAAATCAACCTTAACAGATTTAAGTGGGGTAAATCCTATGATTATTTCAATAAATGCAGAAAAAGCATTTGACAAAATTCAACACCTATTTATGATTTAAAAATCCTTAGAGAACTGTGAATAGAACTGTCCTAATCTCATCAAAGGTATCTATAAAAAACTTTAGAGCAAATATCATATTTAATGGTAGTATAAAGTGGGAACAAAGCAAGAAACAGAACAAGATCTATTGTACAATAATTCATGTAAAATAAAACACAATACATCTGACAAGGAGTTAATATCCAGAACATATAGGGAACTAAAACAACTGAACAGCAAACACCAAATAATCCAATTTAAAAATGGATACAAGACCTTAATAGACATTTCTCAAAAGAAAACACTGAAATGGCCAACAGGTACATGAAAAAATGCTCAACATCATTTTTTATCAGGGAAATGCAAATCAAAACCACAGTGATATAACATCTCACTCCATTTAGAATGGCTGTAACCAAAATGACAAAAGAAAACAAGTGTTGGTGAGGATATGGAGAAAAGGGAACACTAACATACTGTTGGTGGGATTGTAAATTAGCACAGCCACTATAGAAAACACTATAGAGGTGCCTCAAAAAATTAAAATAAAACTACTGTACAATCCAGCAATTCCACTGCTGGATGTACATCCAAAGGAAATGAAATCAGTGTGTTGAAGATATCTATCTGCACTTCAATGTTCATTGCAGCACTCTTCACAATAGCCAAGATATGGAATCAACTCCAGCGTCCATCGACAGATGAATGGATAAAGAAAATGTGGTATATATATGCAATGGAATACTGTTCAACCATGAAAAAGAATGAAATGTTGTCATTTACAACAACATGGATGGACCTGGAGGACATCATGTTAAGTGAAATAAGTCAGACACAGAAAGACAAATACCACGTGATCTCATTCCTATGTGTAGTTAAAAATAAAAGAGTTGATATCATAGAAGTACAGAGTACAGAAACTGGGGAGGGGTAGGAGGAGGGGAGGATGTGAAGAGGTTGGTCAATGGGTACTAAGTTACAATTATATAGGAGGAATAAATTCTGAGCTTCCGTTATACAGTAGGGTTACTATGGTTAACAGTAAAATATCATGCTAGAGAGGTTTTTGAAAGTTCTCCCTACAAAAAAATGCTAAATGCATGAGGGGATGAATCCCCTAACTACCCTGATTGGATCATCATACAACATAGATATGTACTGAAATATCAGATTGTACCCCAGAAATATGTACAATGTGTCAATCAAAAGCAAATTTTAAACCCACATACATCCTTCTTTCATTCTCCTTTAAACCTCACTCATGGCATTGTGAGGAGAAGGCTCATTAATCCCAAGTCAGTTCCCTGGTGTTAGGATGCAGGTATATAAACCCAACCAGTAATAAAAACCTGCAAATGTAATGAGGAAAAAAAAATTCAACTCGCTCTCGCTGCAGAAATTATAAAACAGCTGGGAATCAACTTAATAAGAAATGCCAAAACATATATAAAAAACCACAAAACTTTACTTAAAAACATAAAACAAAGACCTGAAAAAAATAGAAACTACCATATTCCTGGAAGAGAAGAGTGACCATAACAAAAATGTCAATTCTTCATAAATTAATCTGAAATTCTTTGCCCCAGTCAAAATCCAAGAGTTTTTATGGACTGTAACAAGTTAACTCTAGATTGGGAAGAATAGTGTACAAGACTAGAAATCAAGAAATTCTTGAAAGATTAAAACAATGAAGGGGTTTTGCTAAATTTTTTAGGCTGAATAAATGGGACTTAAGTGATACAATTTCATGCTTGTCATTGAATGGTATAAAAATATACTAAATCAAAAGTATTTACTAGTAGAACTAAAACTGGGCCATGAAAAAATGGAACTATAACATTTTAAGGTCCCCTTAATAACGGGACTGTAGAAGATAAAAACCAGGAAAATATAGTATGGATGGCAATTGATAGGAAACTCACAACTAAAAGGATTTTTATCAATATGGCAGAGCACAAACATCTACTCCATTTG